CTCTCCATCACATTCAGCCATCTTACTGGACTCTAACACTTCATGGTGCATAACCTGAAATGAAAGGCAGTCATTTTGCCCTGTAAATAATTCTACCTGCAGCATAATGTTGAACAGTATAAGTTCAGTTGCTCTTAGGCTTACCCAGTTTGGCCAGTGAGGCCAGCATTATCCACAGAACAATCTCAAAGGGAGCTTGCACGTGGTGGTAGTCCAAGCTGAACACCCTTAGAGCATTGGGCAGATCCACAGATGGGCTGACGGGGCTGGTGTTAAAGAGAGGACCGTGGTGAGCCTCAGGGTGCCCATCGGGTATGGTCAGGGCCAAGCAAGCCCAGAGAGGCCCAGAGATCAGCAGATAGAGAGGCCACAGGACAGCCATCCTGTATCCATGCAGAGGGCTGATTGTAGGACAGAGGTCAGAGAGAAAGAGGGAGGGCCAGCAGCTCATGTACATTCACGAAACAATTGAACCCATGCAGCCTCTAATGTGCACAGGAATCCCTGAGCTGGCAGTGACATCCATCCAACAACACACAGCACGTCTATACGCTCACTGTCCTCTGGAGGGGAATCTACTGTCCTACTTTTATTCTCCAAAACATTTTGTCCTGTCTCGGCCAAAGCCAAGCAGGTAAATAGGATGATCTGCCAATAAGTATTTTTACCCATAAAATAAGATAATTAGATATAATGCCATTAAAATAGGAGACTGCAGTTTTTGTTTTATTTCTTATTTTAAATTTAACTTGTCGTATTCCATTCACAAAGTGTCTCAACTAAGAAATGATCCTAATTAGATTTTTTTCCAGCAAGTTTAAACCTTTAGGAACAGCTTTAGTGTTTATTTAAAGGTCGGTCAATGAAATTAGCAATTCCAGGTTTGGAGCTGAGAAAAATTGTGGATATGATTTTGGCGCTGATGGCTGGCTTATTTGCTCATTCCATTCACCTGTCTACTGTGCCAGGTTACTCATTACCATCCATCCGATCCACCTGTTTCCAGCCGCTATTTATGTGGTCTGTTTTACTGCCATGCGTGCCAGATTACTCGAGCTGTGTGTCACAGTAACTCTAGCGATTCTGTAACTTTTCGATGTTATGATCCTGATCAGTTTCTGCTGTTGGATGTCCGAGTTTTGCTTTGACCCTCCTTTGCTCTGTTAGCCTGATCTGTTCTGGACTGATTCTGCCGGCTTACTGACCTTGGACCCGTGTCCTGCCTTTGGCTTGGATTGTCCTCTGCTACCTCTTTGTCTCTCTGATCTTCTGGCCTGGAAACCTGCTTCTGCAACGGCTCCAGTTTTGGATTTCCCCCCACGGGTACTTCTGCTCCTCCATATTTCCTGGCTTCTTCTCATCAGCCCGCTCAGCTCCTCACTTGGAACTCTGGGGGCGGCTCCCGCCACAGGCTGTGGAGAGAAAGCAGCTGTCTGGTTTCTACTCCATCCTCTGGGCTCAGAAGCAGGTTAGTCACTTAGATAAATATTGTCGAGGCCTGTTTGAGTTTTCAAAGTCACTAACCTGAGTTTCTATTTCTACACAGGATCCAGTTTATCTCCCCCTGCTGTTGAGCGTGAGCGCTGATTTTTAATAAACGCTTGTTTTGATATATCCCTGTACAGTCTGCTTGAATTCTGAGTCCAACGTTCTGAGTGCCTGACAATACATTAATGTTCAGACAACAAAAAAAAATAGTTATCCACCTTTTTAAGATGACTTCAAAGTGCTTTAGAGGGGACTGTTGGCCTAGTGGTTAGAGCAGTGTCCTTGTGCTCTGAGAAGGTTGCAAGAACCCGGTTCAATCCCCACAGACTGCCACTCTGGGTCCCTGAGCAAGGCCCTTACCCCCACACTGCTCTCTGGGTGCCACACAATGGCAGCCCACTGCTCCTCAAGGGGATGGGTCAAAATGCAGAGAATGAATTTATCCAATTTGAAATCAATAAAGTTGAATTTTTTATTATTACAGGACATTCAGTCATTCATAGACTGATGGCGGTATGCTGCATTGTAGCCACTGCTGCCCTGGGGCATACTCACATAAGCCAGCGGATGGTCTGCCACCATCATCAGTGGGTAAAACCAGTGAAGTGACTTACATAAAACAACTGAGATGATGAGCTAATGCATCCTACGTCACTTTTCCTCCAGCGGCGGCCATCATCATCAGAAGGGTTTTAACTTTGTGAAATGTTATCAGCCTAATCTCCAAACCATGGGCTGCAAAAGATGAGGTTTGGCTGGAGATTCACCTTCCCGCAGGACCACCAAACTAAACATAGTAATATGATGGAATGGCCATTATGGCTCTAGCCGTATGTTTAGAGACTACAGCCATATTTGTGGTTTAGACTTTGGATAGAACTAAATCCAATGGTACAGTCCGCTTTTCACACCAACAGATTAAATTAGCTGGACATCATGCAAAGTCTGAGTCAAATCTCAGCCTCTTCAACTACAAAAGTAGAACAAATATTGCTTCACAAATTATTACATCAGAGCTGCTGGATATATCACAATGCATCACATCGTCAGGTTTCCTTTTTGATTTAAATCATCAGGAAACCTTTTTACCTTCTGCTGCTTTCATTGCATAAGGACCAAATCCAATATAATAAGGTCTGTGGGGGAAAACATGACAAAATGTGCAAAATAGCAAGCAGTCAGGGACTCCTTAGTAAGGATGACATGTAGTTAAACTAGTTTAGAGGATATTAACGGTAGAATCAACAACTGTTTCATAAATGCTTATTTGATTTATTTGCAAAAGTCAGAGGTGGAAGTAATGGATTAAAAATACTGTAATAAAGTAGATTTTCTGGGTAGTGTCATGGTTGGTCTGATATGTCTGACCCACATGCAGAACACTCAGGAAAAACAGGTCACAGATTAACGTTTTATTCTTAAAGGAAATAATAATCCGTAACTCCTCTAGGAAACGACCACCAGAAGAGGAGTTCGCGAGGCGAATCTCTCGAGCGGAACACGAACAATCTAGGGATTAAGGGGAGGAAACAATTAGCGGAGGAAGGCAAGGGCAGAGGGAGAAGAAGAAGGTGAGACGCGCCGGCTTACCACTTAGGCTTGGGAACGACCGGGGGGGGGGGCTGAGTGAACTTAGCTCTGCAGGCGGAGAGGTTCCGACAGCTGACCGGTGGAGGAGGGCGCAGGCGGGGTCCGAGCGGCGCTGGCCAAATCCCGAGACAGCAGGGGAACCAGACGGATCCGGGGGTGGTCCTTCCACGGCCCGGTTCGGCGGTCCACGAAGCCGAGTGGGTTTCCAGGAGCCAGAGACGAGGGATCAGATGGGCCAGAAACGAGCTGAGGCGGAAGGCTGCTCTGCTTCGCCTGAGCCTCGGGGGGGAAAAAGGCAAGCAGAACCAACAACGGATAATACTCTGGCGTCCTCCTGCTGTCAGAGTGCAGATCTTATAGTGCAGCCCAGCGCCGCTGAACACACGCCGAGGGCGCGCACCCCGCCCATCAGTCAATTGCCGTCAGCTGTGGAGAGAGCAGAGGGAAAAAGCAGGCCAGCAGAGACTGAGTCCTGACAGGTAGTTGTCTTTTAAGAGTATATTTTATTCATACTTAACAATTTACTACTGTGTTTGTGTTGTACTTTATTTCTCTCATTGTGCTTTTATCTTTTGTTCGATGACCTTAAGTGTCCAGAAAGGTGCCTTTGAAATAAAATGAATCACTGCTGAGTACGCCCATAATGTGCATCTCCAGGCCACCTGCTTTCATCTACATCTTTTTATCCATCAACTCTCCTGCACCAAGGAAAAACCTCTGCTGCTCACCAGCAGCAGCTCTAGGTTTCTGGAGGTGACATACAAGAGCGAAGCAAAGAAGCTCAACCCAGAAATGGAGATGGAAGACAGAGGTGATGAGAAAAAGATGGTGTCTGAGAAGCCGTGGTCGTCCCTGGAAGAAGTTTTCAGGAGATGCTGTGCAAACTCTGTTTTAACACTAAAATGATATCATCATATAGAACTTCTACTGCAAAAATAGGTACTTTTACCTGAATACAGATTTTCAGGACTCCTTCCACCTCTGGCCAAAGTTAATCATATAAATTATTCAGTTTATTTTTCTAGGATACAAAATTTGAGATATAGGTAAATTTTTCTTGAATTAAGGGTAATGTGTCTTTATTTGAGCAGGTAATTTGTCAACGAATAGGAGGATTTATGTTAGAATAAGATAAACATAATATTGTGTGTTAATTGTTATCTGAACTAGTTTAACCCTTAAATTCATCCTGCCTCATGGGGAACATTATTTTTCTTTGTCCTCCAAATCAATTTTTAGATGACCTCAGATTCACCTGTAAGTCTTCTTTAGAAAGACGTTTCATGATTAGACTGTTGTGTCTAATCCACTAATTACTCAGAAACCTTAAATCTCCGTTTCGCATCTTTGTGGAGGATAAGTAAAGCGCCTCTGGCTTTTACAGCATGATAACTGACTGAGCTGTGAGGGATTCACTGATTCTAACTGAAGCAGTCAGATCGTTATGCCTTACAATAATCATCAGGAAGCTTTGATAGAAACAGACGATTAGACTTTTTTAGACAGATTTTGTCATTTTGTTTGTTTGGAAAAAGCTCACTGGAAAATTTCATCTTTTAAGTGCAGCCTTGAAAAATAGTAAAAATGACTGTAAAATTACAGTTCTAACATTTATATATATATATATATATATATATATATATATATATATATATATATATATATATATATATATAAAATTATAAAATATAATAAATCTAATAATAAAATACAATACAATAAACAATTCTGCAAGACATTCATCAGTGTGATGGCGGGGGGGGAAGAAGCTGCTGCAGGGAGAACATACAGACTCCATGCGGAAAGACCCCAGGCCGGGAATCAAACCCGGACCCTTCTTGCTGCGAGGCAGCAGAGCTACCCACTGAGCAGCCCACCTTAATGCTAATCCATTTAAATTAAATAATCCGACAAGCTGCAAGTATTTAGTAAAATTCAGTTTATTGAAAGATGGATGTAATTCTACAATCAGGCAGCAGATGTGCTGGAAAAGCTGCTCTGAAGCAGCAGGCATCTTTTCATTAAGCAAAAACAACATTAACATTATAAAAAACCGATAGAATCCTTAAGACTCAATGAAAAAATAATAAAACTTTACTTCATCACTTTGGCAGAATGTTCCCTGAAAGCTGATGATTCTCCACCTCTGAGATCCTTAAGACAGGTGAGCTGAAGGTAGATGAGCAGGGAGCTACATTGTTGGTGCTCAGGTAACTAATTCTGTCCGTACCCTCCACTCCACACCCCTCCGCTAGACTGGCCTCCAGGGAGTCTGAACCATTTAACTGGCTACCAGGCTGGGGCGGGGGCACCAAGCCATGCAGAAGGCTGTGTCCAAAGTGGGAGTTACATCTCGCTAAGTTATCAGTCAGGTGCTGCATGTAAACCTCTTCCAGCTGTTTCTCCAGCAGACCATTCAACACAGAGTTGGACATTGGCTCTAAGCCTGAACCAGGGAGGTCTAGGCTGATGTTTTTACCTGCTCCCATCACCAGATACCCCTGGTCTGGGATGGACTCCTGCTGGATCTCTGTTGACAGGTACATTTCAGGGTCATCAGACTGAAAGTTGGAATCCTCTTGGTTTGCCACAGTTCTGGGAGGAATGTGTGAGATCCGGCCAGAGTCGGCCACCTGCAGGTCTGGATAATGCTCCAAAAGGCTGCAGTCTTCTATGCAGATGGGAGGCAGGGGGGCTGCAGGGGAACAGCCAGGAATTAGGAGACCATGAGGATGACGTTCCACCCTCAGTCTCTGGGGTTGGTTGCGGTCTGGCTCTTCCTGGTTTGGCTCTGATTGCAGAAAAGACATTGAATAATTCCAGAGTTGCATTCAGTTTCCCTAAATCTCTCTTATTTACTATTTATTCACTAGTTTGTTTTGTGACACATGTAGCTTAAATGCAATATTGGAAGAAACTCAACTATAATTTGAAGTGTTAACATAGAACTGCTAAGATGTGTCGTATCTGATGGAAGAGGAAGAGCTTCGATTAGACAGTGAAAGAAGTTAGACAGGATAAGGGCGGTTTAACAGTTAAGATAACCAGATTCTGGTTCCAGCTGTGCTATTAGCTAACAGCAGTACTGAGTTCATTTACCTGCTTCAGCTGAATGGATCCTTGGTTTGGCCTCAGAGACGGAACCGCTGTGCTGGTCGGCACATCCTGAGCTCGTCTGACATCCTTTGCTTTGGGATGCTGTAGCAAACCTTCTCTTCTCCCTGTAGCACATTAACCTGAGAAAACCTTCAGCCAGCATATCTCCAGGAAGCTCCTCTCCTCTGCTCCGTCCTTTTGGTTTATTTTGAGCGATATTCTCAGTTGCAAATGGCGGCGTAGCGCTGCAGACGTATGATGCAGCTCTTCAGCCCTGTTTCACTTCTGCATTTGAGAACAGGCCCTCACCTCTCACTTCCTTTATTCACATGAAGCTAAAAATCACAGAGCTAAAAAGAAACCCAGAACATTTGGAAAGAAACAGGAATAAAAATATTTAATAACCAGTTTTAACATCTCAGGAGGCAATTTCTACAAAATCTATGGGATCCTCTCCCTGGTTGGTGCTTACAGATCAAAGTTTTAGCTCCAGCCAGTGAATGTCTACCCAGCTGAAGACTGGGTGCTCACTCCATGACCATTTGCCAATAATTTGCTGCTTTAAACATGTTTTTGGGTTCTTGAGACGCAGGGAGCCTCCTTCTGAAACCCATCTAGTGTTCTAGCTAAGGCCGGGCGTACACTGTGCGATATTTTCAATCGTTGCACGCAGCTACAGCTCAAACTGTACGATGAGACTGCAGGGTTTAAAAGTTCACAGCTCATGATGTTTGTTCTCACACTGTGCAACCCGACGCTCTCTTGTGATCTACCAGCTCACACATCAGACTCACCACCCAGATATGGTGCTGGTCGGACTCATCTATCTGGAAGAACTCCCTTGTTTGCACATGCTCAGTGCTCGAGGTTCTGGTAAATCGGCTCGTAGCTCTGCTTCAACAGCAGGATTCACCACAAACACCTCAGGAGGACCGACTGAATTTCAAACATGCTTGATTTTCTCCTGACTCCTGATGGGGAGGTGGTCGTTAGCGGCTGATCTTCCCTCATTATCACCCTTACACTACACCATACAGAATGCACCATGAGGATGAAACACGGCCTGAAAATTCTCGCACAACTGAAGAATCAGAAAAGGACAAAAAATTCCTACTGTGTACGCTCGGCTTAAGGAAGTAGTGAAGGAGATGGAACCAGAGTAAATGAATCGTTCCGGCAGGGGAGAATTCAGACTAGACAGATTTTCTGCTTGGATGATAAATTAATATATATCCAAAGCATATATCTATATTTATCCTATAGGCTTAGACTGCTGGAGGACATAGGGACCCCTTTTTCATCATATCTCTATTCTCCCACTCTGCAGAATCTGTTAGTTCAATCTCTAACGTTCTGCTCTCTCTGCTTTTTCTCATAGTAGCTTCATCTGGTCTGTTCCTGTTTGGCTGTGACTCCATCCTGGAGAGAAATATCAGCTGTGCTGCTGCCATCAACACCTTTGTTTCTAGATGTTGGAGCTTGGCCTGTTTTCCAGTGTAGTCCTGTTTCTCTGACTGTGACTAACTGGATGTGCTCTCTTCATCCTCTGACATGGGAGCTGGCTCGGAGCTCGTCTGCCTGGCTGTGTGTTTCCTGGACGGGGCCGCCTGTGGAGCTGGTTGACAGTTGCCTTTTGTATCTATGCTTCTTTTTCTATGTCTGCTTCTGTCTCCTTGAACCCCAGTGGGCCTCAGCAGATGGCCGCTCACACTGAGCCTGGTTCTGCTGGAGGTTTCTTCCTGTTCAAAGGGAGTTTTTCCACTCCACTGTCGCTACAAGCATGCTTAGTGTGAGGGATTGCTGAAGAGTCACAGTAAAATGCAGTCACCATCCAGGAGGAGCATGTCTCATATAAATAAATTGTAGAATCTGGTTGATTTATCTCTATAAAGTGTCTTAAGCTGACATGTATTGTGAATTGGATCTATTTAAATAAACTGAATGAATTAGAATAATGTTCTTGCCCAGATTTCTATGGTACATAATTTTAGTTAGCTTATCAGTTTGGTCTTACTACTCACTGCAGAACAAAGAGAAATTACACAGACATGTTTTACTTCAGGGGTCCGTTTCATGAAGCAGGTTTAACAAATTCAGATTCAAATCCTCAACTCTGAATTGATCTAGCCTAAAGTCAGGAACTCAGATTTCGGTTTCACAGCGGCTGCTATCAATTAGTTCAATCAGGTCCACTCAGATTGGAACACGTGCAATAAGTATGAAAAGCCATTATCAGTGGAGCACAGATTCGCTGAGTCACCATGACAACAGGCAACAGCAAGCGCCTATTTCACCCCACTGGAACTAGAGATTAGAATTTAGAAATGAAAACAACATCTAATTAAAATCAAAAGGGAGAATGTGTTTTAAAGACAGAGAAACAGCAAAGCAGATTGTAGCTGGAGTTAATGTGTAGGTTTATACGAAGTGACTATGGCAGACAGTTTTACATTTAATAAAACATCTCTCCTCTCTGTTGTTCCATTTATAGATCAATAAAATAAGATTCTTCCTGATTAAAATCCCACTTCTAGACTAAACTGTAATAATATATTTTCTAAATTACATTTTTGTAGCAGAAACTGAATTTCATCTTAAAATTATATACTAGTAAGAATTAAGTTTTATATATCTAGAAATGTTTACACATTTTAAGTGGACGTTCTGACATTTATCAAATTGACTAAAAATGTATTTTTGATATCTGGAAAATATTTTTTCATAGTTAAAATAATGCAAATGCCGATCAGTAACAATAGGAAGATGGAGTCTGAAATTCATTTCTAGACATGCAGAATGTTTATTCTAGATGTGGAGAATGTCATTTTGTTTATAATGGTCATTTAGACAAAGGAAAAAGGACTTTTTCAGATATCAGGAATACATGTTGCATAAAACTAGTAAATATCAAACCGGCTTGCTATAGTCTGCTGTGACCGCGGTAATATTACAGGATTATTTCCTGAATGGTCGTAGATCAATGTATCTGTTTAGGTGAAATCACCATGGCAACAGTTCAAGATGAAGAATAAAAATGTTCTAATTTATAGAATCTGTTGTTGATTCCGTCTCTTTAAACAGTAAACAGTTTGGATGTTATCATCCCAATAAATGGCAGTTTGGATGTTATCATCCCAATAAATGGCAGTTTGGATGTTATCATCCCAATAAATGGCTGTTATAAGCGGCTATCAGTCTCATAGAAAGGCTTCAGATTGTGGCAGTTGGTTCATTAGGTTGTTATCACCGCATCCTAATCCTCATCCTAAAGTAATTTCCCCCTTGGAATTAATGAATCTATTTAATTAATCTGTCGATAATTCTTTAAAAAGATCCTCGTCAAACGGACATGCAATGTTTCTTTTTAAAAACTAATCTGTCTAACGGACCTAGGGAATGATTTATTAATTTTTTTATTTTTATGCACAAAACTACGACAAAAAATCTGAGTTAATCAGGAAATAAAGCTGTGCGATTGGCTGTAAGGAGAGCGGAGAAAGAGGACTCTGAGTTTACTGAAGAAAACCTGCTGCTGACCAGGTTAGCTCTGGGAGGATGTTACTATGGCAACAGATACAGAGGATGAACCAGAAAACTCAGTTTCCCCGTTTTAAGGTTTAGAAAACTTAAGAGTTTTTGGTAAACCTGCTTCGTAAAAGAGACCCATAAACTCTGAAGTATTTGTTAATATTTGTCTCAACCTACTAAAGCACACAGCTCCAGTCAGTGTTTACGTCTGTAATGGTAGGATAGAAATGCTGTGTTCATAAATGGAAGGTTGCATTTTCCTAAATCCTTTAAGTTCAATATTATGGTTCAGTTTTTACTGCAGGATGTTTGAGGTTTTCTAGAGAGAAGATTCATTCAAATTCCAGTTTGAGAAACTATCGTTTTAATCCAAACAGCCTCCCGTTCTACACATTTTCTGAAAGGGTGTGAGGAAAGAGCGGAGGATATAAGGCCGATTGGCCGGCAGTCAGGTTTACGGTTTATTTTAATTCAGGGGGGACATTAAAGAGAAATATGAAACAGAATGTTAAACAAGATTTCTCCAAAATACAAAGACAGCAAATAAAACAATAATAATAACGACAAAAAAAATCCCTCATTTGGCCATTTTGGCAGGTATTCTCATTTCTAAGCAAAGTTTGCTATTAAATCAGCATTAAGACAATATCAAGTAGGTAAAAGCAGAGGCTAATCGTTTTTCCAGAAAACAGCTGGATGTCTGGAAAGAGTGAAATCTTTGATTTCCAGGAATTAAGACTTTTTGGGGATAATAAAACCTCTGATGTGCTGTGAAGCAAAGATAACACCCTGGATCAGTAACATTAAGACTCTTGTTTGTTCTTGATGATGAGGTTCATATACTCATGCTGCAGGTGACTGACATGTCAATATGCTAATAGGGTTAGCAGGCGGAGGCTAACTGGCTGAAACCCTCCATGCTTTCACCGTCTTTCACTGCTGCTGAAAAGGCACAGAGGAAAAATAAGGAAACAGGAATGAAGTGTCTGAGTGGGTGAGTCTTGTTTTGCTCCAGGTCTGCGTTTTGGAAAGGCCTGAGGTTTAAGGTAGAAACGGCGTCAGGATGCTACTGCTGTGCCTTCTTGGCTAGAGCCTCTGCTTCCTGGTGAGAAAAAAAAAAGAGCAAGAAAGAGAAGGAAGTGTGTTACAGTAAAATGGAGGATATTGGTGTAAATATCAGCCATAGAAACCACTGTTTCTATGGCAACGCCTCCATTTCCACTTCTAGCAGAGAGGAGGTGCCAGTGAGCAAAAGATGAGGTGTTCAGTAATGTGAAGAGTGTGAAGGCCATTCTACTTAGTCCTGATCTATGTGGTTTCAGTGCAGTTTGCTGATGTGTCCAGCAGCTTACCTTGGAACCTGGGGGGGCAGTCAGACCCAGAAATGCATAGACAGCATTGTCCTCCCGGGCATCGAAGAAGGCCTCGTAGTTCTGAGGAAGAGAAGATGATCCGTCTAGATCACTAGATCTTTTAGCATCTAGATCTAAAAATCCTCTGAAACGAAAAACCTGCAGCTCCTTCAACAGGTTTTAATGCATGTTGAACTTTTCTGACATTCTAGCCTGTTAATAAATAATTATCTTGTTGAGATATTATGTGATTAATTAACATTAAGTAACATATAATTAATGGAAGCATAGATTTATATAATAATAATTTACACTGAATACAGAATGTAACTGCACTTTGCTCAGGACTTTGACTAGGCCATTCTGACATGCAGATAGGCCTTGGAACTAAGTCATTCGTTGCCAGGCTGTATTTTTGGATTGCTGTTTATTTTGATCTATCCTGTTTAGTGACTGATAGATGCAGGTTTTTATGTCAACTATCAGTCTAACTTATCCATGAAAGCTGCTGCCAAACATTTGTTAACTAATCAAACATCGTTGGATAAAAGGAATTTCAATAAACATTTGCCTCATTCATGACTGAAGCCGATACAGAAATACCAACTGGCTGCTGCTGAAAACAAAGTCCAGTGGATTGTTAACTTTTTTTGGAAAGGTTAGGGTTAGGGTTCTGCCAGCATCCTGGTTCAGCCTAGGGATGGCGTGTTCAAGCTGAGGCACACGGTTCATTTTCCTGTCCAGGGGTGATGCTGAGAAACTAGTCCATGCATTTGTTACTTCAAGGCTGGACTATTGTAATTCTTTACTATCAGGAAGTCCACAAACTGTAGTTAAAAGCCTTCAGCTGATCCAAAATGCTGCAGCCAGAGTTC